AACAATCGGTAAATTTATTAATATAGAAACCAATCAGTAAATTATAATTGAATAATAATCATCAATCGGGTATTAAACTGATTGATAACTAATTATTAATTAAACCCAATTTGTTACTATTTAACATATAGTTATAAATTTTTAAAAATAAGTATAAAATCGGGCTGGAACCCGATTTATGTAATTCTACCTAATAATTATGATTATGGTATTAACTGATTTATACATGATTGTAGTATTTACTGATTTCTATCTATTGATTGCTAATCAAAAAATAGTGACCAATCGAAAAGGTATTCGATTTATCAGCGTTCGACCTGTGTGAATCATCCCAAAATATTAGACATCCAGCAATAATATAGCCTTTCAGCATGTTAGTCACTAGGAGAAGTGGTTCAGGTAAGACTAATTTACTTGCGAATCTTGTTCTTGGTGATAAGAAAGAATATGTGCAAAAGGAAAAGAAATGCAGATCTAGATATATCTGCTGTGATGACCTGATTATATGTGGTTATCATTCTGATGAACCAAAATGGGCATATGTGAGATACATATATAAAATGATTTTAAGAGACCCGAGAGCGCCTTTCTATAAAGATATTAGTTTTAGATACATTCCACCTGAAAAGATTTTTAATACAAGAGCATTCTCACCTGAAAGAAGCACAGTAATTATTTTTGAGGATATGTGCTTAGCCTCGAACATATGCAAAATCAAATTGGCCAATTTTTTGGGAATGAACGTCATTGAAATATTTCAAGTATATATGTAACCCAAAAATACCATAAAGTCCTTACATTCATTCGTGAGAATATCTTCCACCTAGTAATATATAATGGTGGTGATAGCCAACAAGATGTGTCTAAGATAGCTAGCCGTTATACTGATGATGTGAAAAATGCATTGATGATCATTAATAGCTACTTTCGAAGAGGTGAATTTATTGTATTTGATCTTACTAGATCAGAAGATGATTCCCTTGCAATCCGCCTAAGGTTTGACACTCCACTAAATCTGCAAAAGGAAATAAAGGTTAGGCAGAAGCACAAGAAAAAAAGTGCCTCAGCTAAAGAGTAGATTCTAACTTCATAGATACTAACTTTTTTTTCGTAATTATAAAAAAATTGGAATGGGAAAACTGGTTATTTATATCGATCCTCAAAAAACTCGAGACTTAGATCAGAATTTTACTTTACAGAAACTTTATTACAGACCTGAGGGATATTATCAGACTGCTGAAAAAATGCAAACAGCCTGTAAGAAAGCCGGATATAGGTTTACTTTGGCCATTATAAAAAATTGGCTTAACAAACAGGCTTTACATCAGATTCACAAGCCTCAGCCAAAATTTATTTCACAAGCATCTTTTAGTAATATTACCATATCTATAGAAGTTATTCAAACTGATTTATGCTATTTGCCTTATGATCGAATTGGAAATAAAACTTATAAATTTGCACTTAATTGTGTAGATATTGCTACTCGCACTAAATGGACCTATCTTTTAACTAGACGTGATTCTGCTAGTGTGGCTAAAGGATTTGTGAAACTTTTTAACTCCCAAATATGTCCAATTATTTGGTCTAAAGTTAAAGTTTTAATGGTAGATAGGGGTGTAGAATTCCAAGGTAATATCATCATACTAATGAACGAACATGGTATTCAAATTCAACTAGCTAATTCTAAAGAATCTATAGGTATTATTGAGAGATTTAATCGTACACTTCAAGAATGAGCATTCTTTATTCAAGATAGTGTTGAAATGAGATTACCTCCTACTGAGCGCTGTTGAGCTTGGGTAAAAAACCTTCCAATTTTTCTTGTAAAGCTTGACAATTCTGTAACTTGACTTCTGGGTATTTCTTCTGCTGAAGCTCAAAAAAAAGAACATGTCTTTGCTAAAGCTTCCAAGTTACGAAAAGGACCTATTGGATTTGATGAGCCTAGATTATCCCATGATGTCTTAGTAAGATATTTGCTTAATCCTGGTGAATTAGAAGGTGGAAGAAGATGTATAACTGATTGTAATTGGTCTCTCTAAACTTATAATATTCATGAATTTTTAGTGTAAAAAAATCAGCCGGTCTTATACTGGCTAATAGATAATGAGGGCAATGGCCTGAAAAGATCCTTTGTAAGAGAGAAGCTTCAAATTATAAAGGATGTGTAATTACCTCCTCAATGGATACTTAATAATTAGATTTCTAGTTTATGAAGTTTAAGCATTTCGTTTACTTCTTCTATAGATCTTTTTTGTACAATCTCTTCTTAGCTCGCAAATAAGAGATATAATTTGTATAACTTTTCAAGATTCTGATACACTTTTTTATTATACCAGTCTTTGGAATCTGTCATTCTTTCATTATAGGCTTTCTCATTTGGAGCTTGTTGCTTTGCTACATATCTGCAATGATCATCTGGGTCTCTTTTACGTCAAATTGTTTTTAAATAACCCACATATGTTAATTCCATTTTATCATATTTTTTCGTGTCTTGGCTATATGCTACTTTGATTACCTCAACTAATGCTGATTCGATATCTTTATAGTTAATCATCTTATGCAAGTATTGAATATAGTGTTTGTATTAATATAGCAAAAACTTTTGTTTAAAATAAAATATTTATTTCTTACAACCATGATAGGCGAATATTACTGCAACTATTTACTCAGAACAGGAGGTGTTTGTGGGCGTATCTGCTGTCAGCCTGAAGGGTGTTATGAACATTAGAAAGCTAAAAAGTGCATTCCTTGCAAGGTTTGTAGTAGGCTGACGAGTTCTGAACCTGGCCTTTGTAGAAAACATGTTAACAGTTATTATGTAACCCAGTATATTAATAGACTTCAAGATAGGGCTATAGGGGCTATGATACAAGAATTCAGAAACTAGATTGCTCAGGAAAATTTAAACCATTCTCCTCCTTCGGTCAAAACCTTCAGAAGATAGTCTATCTTATTTGCCTAACCTAATAGATTATTTTTTTTTGAACTATAGTGAGAAAAAAGGGAGATAGCCTAATATAATTATCCTGCATATGCTGTCTTTTTTTTTACATCATCCTCTAAGAAAAAATTTTGCTAACAGGCCATTTTTTGAAAAGAGATAAAGAAAAAAATATTTTAACAAAAAACAATACTATTTAGACTATTTCAAAAAATTTTATGTAGATAGGGGTGTGAAAAACAAAGAGAGGAATATTTTTGAAAGGTGAGGTTTTTTGGTTGGGCTGTGAGAGAAATTTTTACACCCCCATTTTTTTTTATACCCAAGGGTACACTTCTAGGTGTAAATTTTTATTATGTCAGAATTATAATCGGAAAGGCATGCAAAAGTAAGAAAACAAATTTATGATTTTGATAAATAAGAGGAGGCTGGAGTACAATATTTGTCAACTATTATTCTTGAAGTTCTTAGGCGAAAATAACTTGATTTGCACACACTTTCTACTAGGTATACATTTTTATTATATCAGGATTATAATCAGGAAAGCGCATAAAGACAAGAAAACAAATTAGTAATTTTAATAAGTAAGAGAGATTGGAGCGCATTCTAAGAATACAAATTTTATTGATATACTAGAACTATATTTTGAGAGCTCTAGAATGGTGAAATCAATAAGTATTTATTTTAGTAGTAGGGAGAGCCTGGAATACAAATTTTAATAACTATCTTTCTTAAGCTCCAGAGATAAAATCACAGAAGTCTGCCCACCCTCCCTGCTGCTATATAAAATTTCATAAATAAGTTATATAATATTTTATATAAGATCTTACAAAAAAAAAAAAAATAATAAAACATTATTATTTAATTTTATTTTCTATAATTCCAATTTATTTTTATATTTTTTGCATTCATTCTTTATTTCAAATTTCTGTTTTAAATTTCTAATTCTAATTTTTTTAATTACATTTTTTAATAAACTATGTATTTTCTAATTCAATTTTGTTTATTTTTATTTACTTTGTAAATCTAATTTTTTATCAAAAAATTTCTTCTTTAATTTATACTTTTATTTCATTAACTAAAATTTCATTTTCTTATTAATAACTAATAAATAAAGAGTTAGCATTATATTTATTATTATGAAAATTTATCAAAACTTTCATATAATTTCTATATAGATAGACTAGTTTCTATTTTATTACATTTTTTTTTTCATTAAAAGATTTTTCACAAAGCTTGTGTTTATCTTATTCTTATCTTAATCAATATCTCAATTTGATAAAACCTTTAATTTTATTAAATCTTCTTAAACTTTATTTTTAACTATTTTTTTGTATATAAAATCTAATATGATTTTTATTTCAATATTATTTCAGGTATTTTAATTTTAAGATAATTTTTTGTGATTTATCTTCTATTATTTGATAGATTTTTTTTTTTTTAGATATTATTGCTATTATTACTGCTAATTTATTTATGATTTTTATATTAAATTATAATCTTAATTAAATTATATTAATAATTAATAATTAGTAAATAATAATATTTATTATATTAAAAAAGAAATATATAAATAAATTTAAAATATCTTATTATTTACTTTATTTTTAATAAATTGTTAATTTTTTTAATATAACTCAACAATATTTATTATGATTATTATTATTATTATATATATTGTTATTATATTGATAAAATTAATTACTATTTATTTTTGTTGATACTGAAGATAAAAGAATTGAATTTATAGTTGAACGCTTGAATTTTAAATAGGTGAAAAAAACTTTAATTAAATTGATATGGATTTTGAGAATTACATATTTAATTGTAATAAAGAAGCTTCATTAGGTTTAAAAGATAATAAAGAATTATATTCTTTATTATTATTTGATTTAAAATTTGAATTTTTTGTTATTTTCGTGATCCATTTATATATATACATTAAGAATAAATAGAAAATTTTCTTTTGCAAAATTCTTTAAAATTGAAATGATACATTTGATTAACTACTTATTATTACATTTGATTAGCAAAATAGAGATAAATCCAAAAAATTGCAATTTTGTTTATTTCTGATCATGATATTTTCTAATAACCAATAAATATTTTGACCAATAGAATACAATCAGATATGAATTAGGAATGAATAGGTTATAATGATCACATAAACTTATGTGTATGTGATTATATCTATTTTTGCAAATAATCTAATTATCCTTCACTCCATATAGAATATCAAGAATATATTTTATATTTTAAAATTAATATTAAAATAAGTTAATCAATTAATTATAAATTATCAAAAATAATATAAATATTAATTATAAAATTGCATTTATTACTATTATGATTGTAAATTGAAATCTTTAAATTTGCAATATATATGATATTGCAAATTGCAAACTTTCTCAATTAATAATTATGTATACCATTTTAATTGACTTAAAAGATTTAATACATAATATAATAATATAACTTTTAGTATATAAAAACATACACGGGTCATGTGACATACAATATATATATTATTTTTTTTTTTAAAAACCAATCTTTTATTATATAAAAATACAAAACTAACTTTTTAGTAATTCGTTTTGTATGATATTATTACGGATTTACTGTACATCATAAAATATTACAACGAATTTTTGAATTAAGTTGATTAAGAAGATAATTTATTTCGTTATTTGATTTTTTTTTTTAAAAAAAAAAAAAAAAAAAATCTTAAAGAATATTTTCAATAAATAATAATAAGTAAAAGAATAAATAAATAAATGAATAATTTACAAATAATGATAAAGAAAAAGAACAAATAATGTCCGTATAAGGTTCATATTACGGCGAATGAAAATTTTCTGTCGAATATTTCTTCAAAAATTTTCGTCGTATATATTCTTTTCACTTTTTCAATTCTCTTTTATCTTCTAATTTTCATCGGAATCTTCTTTAAAAGCGTTCAGAAGAAAAAAATTCAGAATCAGTAGATTCGGTAGGCCAAAGTCTAACATCAGGAGTTAAAGGATAATATGCAGAAAGAGTTTTCGATAAAAATTCTACCATAGTGGAATTTAAAGTAGATTTTTTCAAAGAAAAACTAATAATCTCTAAAATTTGATTCTTTGAAAGAACGTGATTTGTATCTAAATAAGCAAGTATATTTTCTTGTAATTCAAAAGGTAATTTAGAAAATGATTTCTTTTCTGGTGGTTGTATGGATAATCTTTTTGGAGTCGAGATCGGAGAAGTGATTGGAGAGATCATTGGAGAGATCAAAGGGGAGATCAAAGGGGAGATAAAAGGGGAAATCAAAGGAGAAGTTGAACAAGACATACAAGTTGGTAATTGTTGTTGTAAAGTGGGATTTAATAATATTCTTGAGGCTTTAAGAATATTAGCAGCAGTTTTATATTTTTCTTTTTGTAAGAAATGGTTACGAGTGAGAGATTTTTGTATCGAATTACCAATTGACTCCCAATCAGCAAAATTATAATCCAATTGTACACCTTTTAATGAAGTATTTTTCTCTAAAGCGTCGGCCAACATCAAATGACCATCAGCTCCCATATTGGAATTCTTATTAAGAGAGAGATTTTGCAAACCAATATTCAATTTTAATGATTCGGCTATAGCTTTTATACCATCTAACCCAATGCTACAATTTGAAAGTATGAGAGATTCTAACGTAGTATTCTTGTGAAAACCTTTAAATAATTGTTCACAACCTTCATCACCGATTGGATTATAAGTAAGGTTAATCGCTCTTGGGACTTTATTATTACTTTCTAATAATTCACCAAGTGATTTCATTCCTTCAACATTATAATTCCTACCGATATTATTAAATTCGATGTCAAGATAAGTTAAGACCGAATTTTTAGGTAATGATTCACAAATATATTTAAGCCCTTGATCACCGATATTATTTCTTGGCATATAAAGGTGAGTTAAACTTTGATTAACCTCAAGTGATAACGCCAAGGATTTCGCCCCTTCCTCGGATATATTATTTATATCCAAACTTAAACTGACCAGAGATCGATTTGATTCAAGTGATTTTGCAATGGCCTTTACCCCTTCTAAACTCAAATTATTACTTCCTAGATGAATATGTTTGATGGTATCATTCTCTTCCAACATATTTGATATGTATTTACCACCTTCTTCATTTAATAGATTTGATTCTAAACTTAATCTTTCAACCGATTCATTCATAATTAAAGCCTTGGACAAATATCTCGCACCATCTGATTTGATACGATTATGAGTCAAATAAATTTCCTTAATCGTATTATTCTTTTTTAATAATTTTCCCAACCATTTTGCTTCATTATCGGCTAAATTATTAAAAGATAAGTCTAATACTTTAACCGTCGAATTTTTTTGTAAAGCTTCAAAAATAACTTTGATCGAAGATCCACTTAAATGATTTTTTGATAATTTTAATTTACGAATATTCGTAACGTGATTAGCTTTTAACAATTTAGCTAATAATTTACATTCGTTATGTGATAAATTTAATTCTTGATATGATAATGTTTCGTATACGGGAGTTGATAGACCACCATAGCTTTTTAATAATTCATCAACGTCCTTTTCGGTTATTTTATGTAATGTTCCTTTCTGAATATGATTTTGTATTTGAGATAATTTAAAGTAAGATGTCACCAATTGATGTCCTTCGTTTGTTAAAAATCTATCCAATTGTATCGTAGGTAAACCAAAAGATTTATTATTGGAAGTTTTTTTTTGCTTTTTACTCCTAAAAGAAAATGTCTCTTGTAATGAGAGACTTCTTGGTAAACCCAACGATGATGGCATTTTCTTAAACATTTTGAATGAATTTTCTTCGTAAGTTAAACGCGTTTGATTTTGGTTTTCTTTTTTTGCGTAAAGTAAAAAAAGGTGTGATAATAGGATAACGTGGTGCTCGTTTTTAATGATAAAAAAAATTGATAGCGTAAGTGATAAGGAGAACAAATAAAAGAGATGTAACTTTGGCTGAGATTGCTTAAAAAAAAAATTTTTTTTTTTTGAGGGGTCAATTCAAATTTTTTTTTTTTTGAAGGAAAATGCGATTAATTTATAAAAAACCAGAAAAAATACGAGGAAACAAAAAACAAGTACGACAACAATTTATTTATGACCATATGTGATACAAAGAAAGTGGCTGATCATAAGTGATACGAATTGGGATTTGTGGTGGCAACAAAGAAGATTCTGTACAAACATATGTTAATATATATAAAATAGTCTTAGCATTTTTAAAAATCATATCATGATGTTTTTCAATCGGTTATGTTAATTTTTATGAAATTCAAAAACAAAAAAAGGGAGAAAATTCTTTTTAGAATATTTTTGAAATAAAAATAAAAAAATTTTGTATTCGATCCGATCTATTACTAAAAAGAGCCTTTGATGCACCCAACTCATCAATAAATGACATCATTTATTGAGTACGAATACGGAGTTACGGGATATACCGTTTTTAAATTTAAATTTTTTAATATTTTCCTTTTAGGGGAATATTTCAATCATCACACAATCATTTGATTTTATTTAAACATTTTTGGTATAGTAAATCATTGTTTCCCTTTCCACTAATATTTTTTTTGATTACACTCAATATTTTATAAAAGGTAACACATTTCCATTTGTTTCGTGCATGTGTTACTTACCGGTTTCTTAACCACATATTTTTGAAATTCGCGTTAGGTTTATCATTAATATCTAATTTTCGAAAAAAAATTTAGAATTTCTTAAAAGGAAAAATGAACTTAATTTTTTTGGTAGTTATCGGACTGTGTGCTTATGGGTACTTGATTAAAAAAAGAAACTTCTGAGTTTTGAATGAGAAAGAAAATCAAAAGATTTTTGAACATAAACACCTTTTTTTTTATAAACACATGCATAACTTTCAAAAAACTTGAAATTGATGTACAATGTTAATTAGAGTCAAGAATAAAAATTGATAAATTGATGATCAGTTGCGCCACTCTCGAAACAATCTAAAATATTAACAATAATGTTAAATTATTTGCTGTAAATCAATTTAATAAGGATAAATTAAAAAAAAAAAGGTTTTTTTTATTTATTGAAAAATTCAGACTATCGGAGTTATTTACTCAAATAGTTTATTTTTTCGAGTGGTAAATTTTGGCCAATGAATTATAATTCCTGAAAGATTTGTTATTTTAAAAGAAAAGATTAAATAAATACTTATTTAAATGAGCAAAACGTTTCAAGTTTTCAAGTACGAATGGGGACGTTTATTTTTGTTTTTAATCATCCTTTTACAAAAAAAGCCCACAGTTATCCTGCGCCAATTTCACACCTATAAAATTAAAATTTTAGTACTATGGATTGTTATTTGTTACAAAAATGTCACCAGACAAAATCATCATCAAAAGAAAAAAAAAAGTGATCATTTTTTAAATTTTTTGGTAATCAATTCCATTATTGTCACGTGTTTAATGAAAAATTTCATAAAATAATATAATAAAACGTTAGTTTTAGTAACTTATGTATAAATAAAAGCTAAATAATCATATAAAATCGGTAGGCCGAAGAAACCTCAGCCGATTAAAAATTACAAACTGACAGCTTGGCATAATTCCCGAATTTTATTTTCTGGCGAGACAAATGGCAGGCTGCTCTAAATGTCTGATTAACCATTTGTTCTTTGACACCAAAAAATAAACGAACAATTGCATTAAATTTCTTAGTTGTCCAACGGGCAGGATATAAATTCCACCAATCATCCCTGTTTAAATCGAAATTTCATGTTTGAAGTGTGTGGTTTTCGTAAAATAAAATAAAAAAAAACTGAACCAGTTGATGGTTTTGATTTTGGGCAAAAATAAGTATTATTTGTCATAAAAAGTAAGAAAAACTGACGATGTTCGAGGAACTATCCATATATTTAGAAATTGGGAAGAATAAACTGACAGATTTTTATAATGCAAGCTGTTCCTTCATGTTAACAAATTAAGATTTGTGTGATAATTCAACATTCCCACTTTATTGCGCAGAAACTCTTTTCATCTGCAAATTTTAACACGTTTGACCGATTTACCAAAAATTTTTGTCCACGTGATTTTTGGTTATGAAAGAATGGGATTTTGTCTATTTTCGTGACTTAATGTGAGCTATTAGTTTATCAAATGGGTGATATGCTATTAAAATCGAGGTACGGATCATACGATTTACTGTCTCGTACCTCAATTTTAATAGCATACCACCCAAATAGAGTTGTTAATAGAAAAAACAAGTCAAAGATTGATCATAATAGAAGATTCCTTGCCAAAATCTTTTTTTTTTCCATTACAAAAAATTTAAAAATTCAATCCAACAATTCCAACCTAAATTTTATTTGCAATGACAAAAATTATAATTCAAGTAATTTACACATGCTTGATATGATAAATGTGAAAATTATCAAAGGAATATATATATATATATATATAGTTATAAAAAAGTTATGAATAAATAAGATGATCTAAAAACAATTAATAATGCTCTAAATACATAATAATAAAAAAATTAAAAATTTACAAAATTTATTTAAGATTTGGGAATTCTTCCACGTAAATATTCCATTACAGCATCAGTGCCTTTTTGAACAATAGTATATCTAGGTACTCTGAAAGAATTTCCTCCAACCAAAAAAGTTTTAATGGTTTTAATATTACCTAATTCCGGAGGTAAATTTCCAATATTATTATTTGATACATCGACAACTTCCATTCCTTCAAAGGTTGAAGTAGTAATTGAAGTTAAATTATTTGAAGTTGCAAGAAATGTTGTAAGTTTAGGGAAAGGCCATTTTGTTGGCAATTCAGTGATGCGATTTTGATTTACATTAAAAACTTGTAAATTTGGAAATGCCGTATGATCGGTTTCACCAGGTAAAGATGTAAGTTGATTCGCTGATAAATCCAACGTGTCAACGTTTGGAAATACTATAGAAGGATCGTCAAATGATGGAAAGGATGTGAATTTATTATGATCCAATTTAAATGTTGTAATGGTATTTTTAAAAGTTTGAAATCCAACTGGAATTGCTTGAAATGTGTTAAATGCCAATATAATCGTTGTAGGTTCGAAAGTAAGTTCTTCCAAATCCGCCTGATCCAAGTCAGATAAATTTTTCTTTGAAAGGTCTAAAGATTTTGATGCTACTCCTTGTTGAGTAATTGTACCTAAAGCTCCTGAAGTTTTTAACCCGCCATTGCTCTGAGATCTTCGACCTCCTACGCGTCCAGGATGTTGACCTGAAATTGCTCTTTCAGGGATTGTAGGTCCTTCAATACTATCAAGATCTAAGTAAAATAAGGATTAAGTTAATAATTCGATTATGATGATGAGGAGGAGGTGGTGGTGGTGGTGGTGGTGTAGTAGAAGGACGATCGGGATAAAATTTTTTTTTTATACCATGATAACCGGAATCACTTACCAACGGTAACAAGTCTATCTTTTAACGTTTTTAATAAATTTGCTGTAGACTTTGGTCCTCTTGGAGCATTTCTCAGAGGATTTCCTTCCCACACCAAAACATCCAAAGTACTTAATAAGCCCAGTTCGGCAGGTAAATGTTTTAGTTCATTGTTACCTATATCCAGTCTTTTGAGACATTTCAGTGCAACTAATCCTTCAGGAATTTCTGATAATTTGTTATCTCCAACATCCAAAATTTCAAGGTTTGGTGTAGTATGTAATAGAGGACCCAAGGATTTAATTTGGTTTAACGAAATAAGTAATTCTTTAAGTTTTGGTAATTTAACTGATGGATGAAAAATTGTTGCATCATGTGATTCATCTAAAGCTTTTAATTTGTTTTGACGAACGTCCAATCTGTTGAAGAGAAGATGAATTAATTTTTATCGGACAGGAAAAAAAAAGAGTTCAAAAAAGCAAATAACAAACATGAAAGTTTCCATGATATTATTACTACCTTTTTAAAGATTTTAAATTAACCGCTTGCCCATCTAGATCTTTGAAAACTATATCTAGTTGATTCTCGCTAGCTTCTAATTCCTCCAAGTATGTCATTCCAGTTAATGCTATACCAGGAAGTTCTCTTAATTGATTTTTTGCAAGAAAAAGTTTTCTCAAATTTTTTAAATTTGAAATCTCTTGTGGTAATCCAGTAATTTCGTTTTGTGAAATATCAAGGATTTCTAATTTTGATAAATTACCAAAGGTTGAGTCTAATACACCTGAAAGATTATTTGATGCTAACTGCAATTCTACCAAAGATTTAAGAGAAGTTAAACAGGTTGGAAGTTCATTAAATTTATTAGTTGATAAATTAAGTATCGCTAGATTTTTTAATTCGCCAAATTCGTCAGGAAGAGATGTCAAATGATTATTATGAAGCTAGATAAGAATAGAAGGTAAATAATTAACAAAACTAGTAAGAAAAAAAAAACAATTAATTTATTAATGTGACTTACATCAATGAAAGCCAATTCATCAAATTCATTTATTCTCTTGTCGATTTTTTTGATAAAATTGTCGGCGGCGACTAAACGAATAAGATTTACTTGTTCATACCAAACATCGGAAGAACCTCCACCAAAGTCGATGCTTATACTCTTTGAATCAACTTCATACATTCTCCACACTTCCTCTGGAATCTCCGTTAATGACCGATGGGATATATTTAGACGTCCTAAATAAATCACAACAAATTTATAATTAAAATATTTTAATTAAAACAAAAAACAAAAATAAAAATAAAATAAAATAATAGAACCATTGGATACAATACCAGAAGATTTGGCTTGCTTAACTATGACATTCAAACCTTTTGATCCTACTTCACTCTGTTCTTCTTTTTGAACATCTATATTATTAGTTTTCTTCAATTTTGCTTGAGCGATAGCATCTCTAACAGATGATGATGCTGCTGGTCGCACGGATTTCGTAGTAGCAATGGATGAAGGTGATGGTGATCTTGAAGTTCGTGATGGTTTTTTTGGTGATAATGATGTCGATCCTTTAGGTTTGGATGTAGCAGTAGAACTTCCATTCTTTGATGTCCCACGAGAAGATGCTGTTCCAGTCGTTGTTTTCCGCATTGGTATCAATGATATATAAGATTTATTTATTCTACTCGAATGAAAAAATCAAATAATTTATAAATGTTATATAATATTGAAAGAAATCTTGAAAATATCAACCTACCTCGTTAATATACTGGGAATTAATCGAGTTTATGTATGGTTATTAAATTTTCAATTTCTGTGATATTACAGGTGATATGTTTTTTATAGATCGGAATTAATATGAACCTTTAGATACTAATAACGTTTAGATAAAAAAAATATCGTTAACTTTATATTTGGAAACGAAAAACTCGAATTTTTTTTTATTCAAAAAAAAATTTTTTTTTTTAAAGTTTTTTAATGCATTTATGCTTAATTTCATTAATTGTGCGTGCATACATACATGCACCAAAAACCAATCATGTTGATCAACGCTTTAAACGCAAGTATCACATGACCAATCAAAATCATCTTTTTATTTTAAAACTAATTAGCTTGCTTTGTGGCATAAATATTTGAATTTATCAAAACCAACATAATTTATTGTAATAAGAATTAAAAACTTGCTTTTATTTCTCTATATTACAAAAAAAAAAAATTTGAATTATCATTTCCAATTCATAAAAAAATGTGTCATACCCAATCATCAGGATGAGTAAATCAACTCACGACTCACTGCACGAATAAATCATCAGTTATTACAATTATTATATGCAAATAAATTGTTTATATGCAAGTAAGCTTATGACTAAATATAGGTCTTATTTAGCAACTCCAAAAGAGTTAGTAAACATGCGAAAATGTGAAATTGGCTATTCCATTTTCATTTAATTATTCTCTTGCGAACAATGGAAATTCCCCTCATAAAAAAAATTAAATGATGATGTTTAAACAAAGATGAATTCAAAGATAACGCACCTCGTAGCACTCAATTTGGTTGACATCAAATTTTAACAAGCCCGAGATTCATTTTGATACCTCGATTAGTATTTCTTAATGCAAATCTATATCATTAATAAATATTTTTTGATCCTATTTAGAATTTACTTTTAAGGGTAAATTTTTGAACCTTAAATTTTCAAAAATATTATTCGAGAAAAATAAACATCAAACTTGTAGATAATCTCAAGTTCATATATTGTAAGGGGTCAGGGTATTTTAGTAACGGTTTTTTAAATAAGGTTAGAGTATTCGTGCCACAATAAATTAATCGGCCGTACTATTCAAGATTGTGAACGCCAAAAGATGTTGTATTACATTTACTTTAAATATATATATTAATTGCCTGTTCGTTTTTTCTTTTCTTTTCTTTTTTTTTTTTGAAGAAAAATTATTATTTCTAAATATATAAATTGTAAAAACAACAACAACAACAACAAAAAAGATACAATCTAATTTAATTTAAAGTTGACACCTGCATGTCAAAATGGAATCACAAACTCAATGTCATGATAATGTTAAATCATCACGGGACAAACATGTTCATTATCCCATTGAATCAATAAATGAATTCAAAACATTTGAAATGCCAACTTTTGTAGAACGAACGCATCGTAAATCAAATGATTCGGAACGAACATTGTTCGTTTCTCATTTTGACCTTCAAGACGCTTTTGAAAGTAGCATTTACGACAAACCCGAAGCACATACTTGTGACTGTGTCACGAAACTCGCATTAAGTAGTAAAGATCAAATGTCCCAGGATCAAATTATTCGAAATGTGCCGCAGCAAGAACCGTCAACATCACCACAGAATGACCAACATTCTGATAATGAAATCGTTTTACTTTTCATAATAGTTTCGATCGTTTCTTACGCCATAGGATACTTTGGTTTCGCTTTCTTTTGGATTACGTTGATACTATATCAGTCCACAATATGGTATCTTAACACGGTTAAAGATAATAAAGAGCGAGTGCGTTGGGAAGTCACAAAAGAAATGGCGATGGATAAGGTAAATTGCATAATCAAAATAATTGTATAGTAAAATTATTATTTTTTAAAAACCAAAAGTAAAAAATAAAAATAAAATAAAATAAAATTGAAGTTGAGACGAGATAATGGAGAAACTGTCGAATGGTAATTATAAAAAATATATAAATATATAAATTTATATAAATTTACTTAATTCGAACTATATCAATCCGCAAATGAAAATTCTTTTATTTATTTAGGCTGAATTATTTACTTCAACAAATATGGAGAACATTTGACCCATCCCTTTTGATAGGACTTCGAGACACGTTTGAAGACGCGATGTCTCGTAGCGCACCTTCTTTTGTCGTATGTATTTATTTATTTTATACTGTCCTTATCTTTATTTAAAACAAAAATTTTAATGAATTTTTGCGGCGCAGCGCGCAACGGATATTGAAGTTGAAATCGGTCTTATCGCCCCACGTATTGAAAAGTAAAGGTTTTTTTTTTGAATTTTTTTAGAGTTTATAGTTTATTTACTATATACATATAAAAAAATAAATGCTTTATTGCATAAATTAAAGTTCTTTCCTTTGAATAACTAAACAGTATTAAAATTCTACCACGACGCGAGAATCAAGATGACGACGATGTAATAGTAAGTTAAAGTCAAATGATGTTGAGGATATTTTAATTTTTTATTTATTCCAAAGGGAATTTAATATATTTTTAGGTTGGGGAGGCCACATTTTCTTTTCGTGCACGTTCTTCAACCATGAATCGTAATGATGCCCCACCACATATTTTAGCATGGATCAAAACTGGAATTTCAGCTATAATCCCTATAAAGGTCGAACTAATAGGCTTTAAAGCTTCGATTCATTTTGAGATCAAAATTACTGGTACTTCACCTTTCATTTCAACTGGGAGATTTAGTTTCCTCAACTTTCCATTATACGAGACGAGCATTATGCCCTTGATACCTATGAATATCGCACAGGTATTTGAAATTAGAAATGAAATAAATGAAATCGATTTTAAAACTAATTGATAAGGACTTTATCCTTTTTTTTTAAAAAAAATAAAAATAAAAATAGTTTCCCATTATAAAGCAATTCATTCGCAATGCAATGCAATCTGTCATGGAACAATTCACGTCTCCAAATTTCTTTGATTTGGACTTGGAACAATTGCTTACTGGAGACGATCTTTTACATGGTAAAGTATAAAATTTCTATTTTCATATTCCTTTTTTTTTTAATTCAAGTACTAATTCTTTTATGATTTAATAGATTCACAAGCTATTGGAATAATGAAGGTCGATATATTCGAGGCAAGAAATCTAACAAAGGTTGATGTGTCTGGTAAGAATCTACACAGAGAAAATATCCTTAATAAAAAAAAATTTTTTTTTAACAACTATTTCTTCTATTTTTTTTTTAATATATTATTCAAGGCGAGAATGATCCATATGTAATATCATCCTTAGACCCTTCACCTTACATGCACACACATTCTAATACAAGAGTAGTTGAGAACTGCGCAAATCCAGTGTGGCGAGAAACATTCTTCCATAAAATACCAGAACTCGATATAGTAGATGAACATATCAAATTCAAGCTTTGCGTCATGGACTGGGATAGATTCACAACTGATGATCACATAGGGTCAACATGGATTGACATTAAAGACGCAATTGGAAATGGAGAAAAAGAGACACTAATTCATGATGGGTATGTTCTAACAAAAAATTGTATCTTTTTTTTTTTTTTTGAATTTCTCATGAAATAGTTATTAAATTTATATATTTGGTTTTAAAAAAAATACTATAGATGGAAAAACCTTAAACTTCAACCAAAAGATACATCTTCGCAAGGTGAACTTTGTTTCCGTCTCGAATATTATCCAAAATTATCGAATCAAATTGAAGCGCAACCTGATCAAACAGGTAAGAAAAAAAATTACTTTTAATTTTACTTTAATCCTCAGAAACGAAAACTTAATAATCAATTTATTATTGAAAGCCGGAATCTTTTGCTTGAAAATCCATCAGGCTATGAATTTGCAGATAACGACTGCGCCTTATATTGAAGATTCGGGAATAACAATGTCAGATAATTATTATAACACGTCCTATCCAAATCCATACGCGGTTGTATATCTTAATGACAGTCGAGGTATGATGGATTCATTTATAATCGTTTTTTTCTTAATTTATTCGTTTATAATTATGTCAAGTTACTATATATTATGATAGTATTTCGTACGAGAGCAAAATTAAACAAGTAAGTTGAAATTCACATAGATTTGACCTTATAATACTGTTTTACCTAATTTTTCATTTTCAATCTCAGTGTTGCTCCATTTTGGAATGCGTCAACGGAACAATTCGTAAAGGATTGGAAAACTGCAATAGTAAGAGTTGTAATTAAGGACCAAAAAGATCTCGAGTATGATCCAGTCATTGGAATGGTCACATTACCTTTGAAAGAATTATTTGAACAAAAAGAAAAGGTAAACGTAGTATGTCAATATATTAGAGGGAGATATTTTTTTTCCATACATTAAATAATAATAATATTGATAATAATAATAGAAAGAAGCAACCAAATGGTATGCATTGCGACATGGCGTTGGTTGTGGAAAAGTACGTCTAAGTTTCCTCTTCAAAACCATAAGTATGCGATTACCCACTGAAGATAGAGGATATGACGTTGGAACACTGCTTATTAATTCTATCACCGCCGAAGGGTTAGATGATTATTATGCAAGTAAGTTGGCGTGTTCAGTAATAAACCTTATTGATGTATACTAACTTTATTTATAATTTATTTTTAGATCGAAGTGTTTACTTGACATTAACTTTAACCAATACAGAAATTGAACAAGATACTGAGGTGACCAATAAATTTCCACCCACATGGCTCGAACCGCGATCAATAAATGACACGAAGAATCGTATGGAATTTGCAGTATTTCGTCGATACAGGACTTCACTTAAAATTACACTAAAATGTAAAGGAATATTTGGAATTTACCATACATTGGGCACAGTGGAATATTGGTTAAGAAACATTAAAGATTGTCGTGAGACAGAAGTAGAATTACCTATATTTGAGAATTTACCCAAATATTTTCCTAATTTAGATATAACTGAATCTAATCAAAATTTTAATGATTATTCCATACCTATATGTGAATCGCCTACTTCATTAATCATTAAGGATTTTGATGCTTCATCAAGTTTATGTAACCTTTCTCTCGTTGAGAAGGAGGTTAATTTGGAAAAAGATTTACCAATAACGTCAAAGGAACTACTATCAACTGTTTGTTCAACAGACGCGATTCCATCCGAAGAATTTGGTGAATCATCACAAAAGACTCATAACGACATGCAAAAGTATGCTCATGACTTGGATGTTACTAAATCAAACGTTGGCAAGTTGTCAATTATCACTCAATTTAACGGAAGCAATGACAATATGCTACCGAATAATAAAGCCGATTCTGATGTTTCAACGTCGAAACATAGCAAAGATAAGCAATCCGTTGAATCGTCGCTCAAAACAACAGAGGAAACTAAGATCTTTTCAAAAAAGTCGGTTGATAATACACCAGAGGAGTCAATGTCATCGGAAGTACCTCCTACAATTCCACAAGAATCATCTACCACAACAGAAAATCTTACAAATAATTTAGATCCTTCTTATAAAAGGAAAGGATATTTGAGGTTTAAAGTATATTTCAGACCAGGATTATCATTAGCGCATGAAAAAGAGGTTAAACGTAGTTTAACAGGAGCCAATGCAAGTATCCTGTACCAAAATCCTTTCTGTACGATGGAGGATATTGAAGAACAACAAAAACGAGAGCGTGAACAAAGAAGGCAAGCTACCAATATGTATAAAGAAAGATCCATACCAAGTGGTGAAACTTATGAATCTGAAACGGGAATGGAAAGAAGAATTAATAGAGTACATAGACGTAGAACCATGAGACAATTACAGTGGGTAACAGATTTATTAAAAGCCAAGGTTGTTTCCATAAGCGGAAAACGTGAATGGGAAGATCAAGAAATTATTGAACATGAAGTATAAATTAATTTTCATGGTTATCGAATTTTTTGAAGAGTATTATTATTATATACAATGCTTATGGAGAAAAAAATCATATGAATATTTCTTATCATTTCTTTTGTATCTATTTTTTTAAATGTTCATATTTGTATTTATTTTTACAAAAAAAAAACCCCCCACTTGTAAAATAGTAACCTTATAAAATCATTAAAAAAAATCATTCCATATTTTACTTGGATCCGATACTGTATTTGGATAAAATCATGATACGTCATCAGCCAATGAAACAAATGATTAAAAAAGGTGAACTAATAAGCACCTTAAACGAATAGGAACCATTTAACGTATTCATTAATGGAACAACCAGAAATAGCAAGTATCAAAGGAATATCCAATTAACATTAAAAAACTCGGATTATAATGCACATCACTAAATAGCGTTTGTTCTTTACACGTATTATATATCTATGGAATAAAACCATTTCTTTCGAAACATTTTACTGTATTTAAAGGTTTCGGCTGAACAAAAGCCTCGTTGGAATTCTCGTTTACTTTATTTCCATGAAAACTTGCAAACTTTCTTTTAGACTGCGATCTCGATTGGCAACACGATCTAATCTGTAAATGCTGATCTTGAACTATTTTAGCACCCATTTCATTTTAATTAAATACATTCATTTTAATTCTTATCATATCATATTAATTAATTTCCAATTTTAATAAAAACATATTTCGCGGTCCCAAAAGTCGATCTTTTTTTCTTGAACAATGGTAAGAGAATAGTCTTTAAAGCATGTGACAAATTTAAAAATACACTCTGTTTAGAAATGAGTCGAGAAAAGTTTTATCTAGAACGAAACGGTTTTGTTCATGCAAACTGTTATATATAAAGCAATATTTGTTGAATTGTAACTTTCGTTAATTTTTAAACCATTTAAAAAAAAAAAATTTATAATAAAGATGAATATTACAATCATATATGAATTTGCGAAAGTATGGATTATAATATATATATTGATTCGAATCAGTAAAGTATGTACATGTACTTTTTTATAATGTGAAATTAAATTATATCATAACGTTTGCTCATAAAATTATTTTGCTTTCTCTTGAAACAAAAAGACTTTGTACATAATTTTCTTTTCTCCACTTCGTAAAGTTCCTGGACCAATTCATTTTGCTTTCTCTAAAATGTTTTTAAGATATAAACAAATCAGTGGTGAAAGGTATATTTATTTATAAAGCCTTACAGAGGCTCGATTCTTTAGACTGATAATTTGTTAATTTTTATACGTTTAATAGATGGAAATACATGCAACATTACTTGCAGCCAAAGTATGGAAAAATCGTTAGAATAGGTAAAATGATAGATTTGTTTTAAGTTGGCGCAGTTATTTCGAATTGTGAAGTAAAAATTTCTCTTAAATTGCTTAAATAAAATAGGACCTAAAAACGTTATTGTGGCTGATAAAGATGTGATCAAACAAGTAGGATTGAATAAAGAGTTTTAAATTTCGTAGCATTTTATCATTTAAACTAATAATCCATGTTTACATTTATTTAGATGTTGGTTACGGATGTAAGCTTTCCGAGTTCATTTTACTTCCTTCCCTAAAATTGATTATCATTTTTAATTTTATTTTAGGAAATGCCTAAGAGCGAAAATTATGATACATTAAGAGTGGAAGATGCTCGAGTTTCATTATTCGTTACAAGGTTAGTAAATTTAAATTGAAATGTCATTTATAAATTTATTTATCTAATTATTCTTTCGTTTCGATTAGAGATGTAGAATTTCATAAAAAACGGGTAAGCTTCATAATATTTCTAAAGTATAGTTTTTTTATAAAAAATAACCATTTTGATCATAAATTTAGAGACGAAACCTTACACCAGCATTCTCTTTAAAATACCTTGCATCATTAGAACCACTTATGCAATTTTGTTTAAGAGATCTAATTACAAAACTTGACGAATCTATCGATAACGATAAAAAAATTCATGGCACTATTGTTAATATTTATGAATTAATCAGGAATACAGCAATGGATATTATAGGAGAAACTGCTTTTGGAGAGTCATTTAATATAGTAAAAAACGGGAATCATCCCTTAACTAGCCTAACTTTTCGAGAATTGGTTAGAAGAATTTTAGTAAGTTTATGAAAATGATTTGTTTATAAAAGAATATACATATATATATATATATATTAAAGATGAGGGACGAAACTCAAAAAAGGCAATTAATAAACAGCCGAAACTATATTAAAACATAGTGAGGGGTATGACGAAACCCGAAATTAGCCGAAACTATATTAAAAACATAGTAAGGGATATGACGAAATTATTTTGAGGGAGTTTCGGCTGGCATCTTTAATATATATGCATGTATATACATAGCATAGTATTTAATTTTCTAAAAAAAAAATATCTAGTGCAGCACATTTCCGGCTCTAAAGTTATTTCTAAAGATGGATCCTTTTATCGATGAAGTAAGTCATTTTTGATTTTTATATTGTCTTGAATCTATTAACAAATATTTTACTTAAATTTCTTGTAAAGTTTTCAATTAAAATGATAAATAAAAGGAAAAATTCGGAAATAAAGAAGAATGATTTATTGCAAATTATGCTGGATTCAATTGATGTTAAAGGAGGAATGGAACAAATAGAAATTTGCGAACAGATGTTAGAATTCATGTATGTTCGTTAGTGTTTTGATTATCGATTTTTTTTTTTAAAACAAAAATCCCTATTTAATTTAATGTTTTAAAAAGTTTTGCAGGAACAGATTCAGGAAGTTATATTATAACGATGGCAATAATTGAATTATTACGTCACCCCGAATCAATGGAGAAATTAATAAAAGAATTGGATGCCGCTTTAATTAATAATAATGGAGAGTTTCCATTAAATGATGAATTAAAACATTTATCATATTTAACTGCTGTTATTAATGAAACTTTAAGATTATATCCTATTATGATGGGTAGGTAAAACTTTAATTATAATTCTTCTTATTATTATCTTTACTAAATTTTTCTTTTTTCATAATAGATGTCGGTTAAGTAAAAATAAAAATAAAAGCTATTAAGTTTTCATTGTAAATATTTTTCTTACTAACAAAATTAATTTATTATAGGTGTGAGTAAACAACTTACAAAAGATTCGATAATGTGTGGATATTTTATTCCTAAAGGGGTTTGTAGTTAATAATTTATCTATAATATTTCAATGAGTCTTTTTACAAGAATATTTAACTTAGTAGATTAAATTTTAGACCTGTGTAAATTTAAATATTTATGCAATACATTATTCAAAAGAATATTGGGGAGAAAATGCAAAACAATGGATTCCTGAAAGATGGTTAGATGTAGACAAATTACCGAAAAATGCCTTTTATCCATTTTCTGCTGGTAAGTTGATATTGTATTTAAAAATGAAAAAAATAAATTAAAAATCATTTTTAATTTTATATCCAATTTTTTTTTTTTTAATAGGATCAAGAAATTGTATTGGAATAAAGTAAGCCCCTCATTTAATTATCAATTTTATTTATTTTTTAAAATATATGCTAAAGTTTATGTATTATTTATTAGCTTTGCATGGCTTGAAATAAGAATCATTATAGCAACTTTATTAAAAAGATATAAATTTGAAGATATCTTAAATCAAAAATTAAATTTTATTCAATTTATTACACCTTCTTTAAAGAACAAATGTTATAATATTAAAGTGAGCAAAAGAAAAATTTATTAGTTATTCATTATATTAATAATAATATTTATTTCTAAAAAAAAAAAAAAAAAAAAAAAAAAAAAAAGTTTTGTTAAAACAAATAATTTAAAACTCAAATTATTTTAAATAAATATTTTTATATTTTTTTTAAAAATTATTAAAAATTTTTGGAATTTTATCTTTTTATAGATAATAGATAATACAATGAATATAAAACAGGCCCTATGGCAATATTTCCAATAATTTACAGTTTTTGATGATATTTGTGATAAAGTAAGGCATATATAACTAGAAATAGAAATGTATTTCGATCTAAAAAAATATACAGTATATTATATATATTTCAATTCCCAATAATAATAATAATAATAAATCATTCACGGGAATAATCTTTTTTTAAATTCCACATTAAACGATATTTATATGATGCATCTAGATTAACATGATAATCATCATTATATAAGAGCTACTCCCACAAAAGTTTTTACATTTTTCATTCTTTACAATGAAATTGTTTTTACAATCACCGTTTTTTAGTTTTTTAATTCTCTATTTTATGCTTTATTATGTTAACGTTTTAATCGTAGCAGAAGATAAAATAGATACGTCGTCAATATGGGAAAGAGCCATGTCAAATTTACCAGCTGATAAATTCCTTGAAGAAGATATACCCATTGATAGTTTAACTATAAAAGAATTAAACGATTGGACTAAAGGAATTGCGCAGACATGTTTACGAGGAAAAGCATCGTTAGTATACAGTGTTGACGAACTATCACTTCCGGAATCAGCAAAAAGTCTCGCCAATCTCATGAGATATAAAAAAAAACCTTCACAAATCTCATTTCAAAATAATGAGGAACAGCCACAATTCTTTACAACAGCAGATAAACAAATAGAAATCGAGAAAACATTATTAATTTTAGATAACATTTATGACTCGGTTGGTGAAGTTCCTTATTTTAGGACAGAAGAGGATTTTTCACCTAATGTGCCACGTTATGCACCACTTCAAACCATTCTAAGTTCGTTCGCTATAAGATCTGTTCAAACAGTTGATAATTATATTTTACATTCGGTTTGTTCAACAACGAATACAAGTTTTCATAGGTACGCAGATAGATCTATATTTTATAATTCATTATCATCCGGATTATCATCAGCAGTTATCATACACGTTTCTAGAGGATTAAAGACCGACGTCTTGATAGATATAATTAGTACATTAGCGATTCAATTACATATGGTGAAATCAATTGCTTCTTTAGCTGGATTAGATACAGATGATGATGCAGTTCGGACATTGATTTATTTGTGTATCGTCTCGGATGGGGTTAAAAGCTCGATCTCAGGAACAGCGAAGGAATTAGCAATGATAATCATGCGTAAAATGGTAGTGGATCAAATTCCCACATCTGCTTTAAGATCCATAAATAAACGCGTTGCAATGAAATTACTTAGTAAAGAAGTTGGAGGTAAAGGATTGATTAATTTCGCTTCTTTAATTCCTTTTGTGGGTGAATTGGTTACATTTATAAATGATTCTTTGGCAACATATGCCATTGGACAAGTTTCTAAATATGTTTTTTGTCCAATGGATGAATCAAGCGAAACAAAACATGATGATGATTCGCCATCTTCCCCACCACCTCCTTATCCTGGTAGAATTGAACTTTAAATATTTTTTATTTGCAATAATCTTTGGTTTAAAAATTTTTAAATTATATTTTGGAATTAATGGGTCTAGAAGTTATACCACCATCAACCGTAATAGTAGCACCATTAGTAAAAGCGCCAGCCTTACTAGATAAATAAATAGCGGTACCAGCAATATCTTCAGCTGCTCCAATTCTACCTAAAGGCACATCTGCAATAATTAAATCTCCATGATCTTTTAACGTTTGGGCCATCATTTTTGATTGATAAGGTCCAGGTGCAATATTATTAAATGTAATTTGACGATTTGATAATTTTCCTGCCATCACTCTTGTTAAATGATGTAAAGCTGCTTTGGAAGTTGAATACGCATATGTTTCCGACATTGGTGTAGTCAAACCAGAAATTGATCCAATATTAATTACTCTTGCCGGATCTTTTGGTGATGCAGCTTTCTCAAGTAATGGTAAACATCTAAAATAGAAAAATATACACGTTTTTAAATCAAATACAAATACAAAGTTAAATATTAAATAAATCAATTCAAAACGCTTACGCTTGCGTTAAACTAAAAATTCTTTTAACGTTCAAATTCATAATTTTCTATTATTTGTAAAATAATAATAATAAATTATTAGCTATTGACTATTAATTAGTTATATAACTTCTAATAATCACCTCAAATGCCGCATCTGGATAAGAAGCGATAGGAGCACTCCAATTCCCACCAGCATTATTAACTAAGACGTGTAGCTCTAATTTAAGTAAAACAAAATAAATATTTATTTTAAAAAATAAAATTTATATTTGCACCCTAATAAAATTAATCGAACTTACTTCCTTCACGTTCTTTAATTTCATTTGCTAATCTTTTGACTTCATTTAAATGCTGTAAATCTACTGGTATACTAACAGCTTTTCCTGGCCCTAACGTAAATTCAAAAGAATTAACACGTAAATTTTTCAATAATTGATACAACTTAATTAAATATTTACCCTTATCAGATAATTCTTTAGCAACCTTATCACAAGTATCCTTGCTTCTTGAGGAAATATAAACTTTTGCCCCATTAGCTATAAATCCTGTTGCTATCATAAGTCCGATTCTATTTGAAAGAAATTAGAAATTTCATTGAAAAAAAGATATTATTTTATAATTGAGAAATTACCCTCTAGATCCTCCTGTAATCAATACAATTTTATCTTTAACATTAAACAATGAATTCAAATCCATTTTCAATATATAAAAAAATAAATATCGAGAAAACTCCCAAATTCGTATTTAATGTGATCACCACTTCACCATAATAAAAAAAACCCCATTATTTTATTTGTTAAATCAAGTAATACAGATTTTATTATATTTGATAAAATAGGCAATTAATATAATACCATTTATTTAAATAACTATTTAAATTTAAAAAGGTTAATTATTTTATTTATTAAATAAAAAATTTTAAATATGAAAGTTATTTTGTTTATTTTTTTTTAATAAAATAACTTTCAAATTTCAAAAGCAGAATTTTATTAAGAAGATTAGTAAAAAATAATCTTTAAAATTATAACAATATATTTTATTATTAAAAAAAGGGTATTACTATTTGGCGACCCTGTCTCTACTGCGTCCCTATCACGTGATATAACTTTAATCGATTTTTATTGGTTAATAAAAAATTATTTAATCCCATCAATTTTTTCTTTTATAAAAATTTCATACAAAAATTTCTTAGTGTAGTTTTTTTTCTTTCTTAATGCTAATGTTTTTTTGTAATAAAGTAGGATTTTTCTTTCGATTACGCATTTTTTCTTTATTTTTTATTTTTATGTATATGTATTATATAAATACACATATATTTGAATAAAGTAAAATATAATATTATGCATATAAGGTTAATGCACATACATTAAAGAATAGAATGTAAAAGTATATATAACGAATAAAATAAATGATAATGCATGCACAATAAAATTCCCTTATAACTTGATTTTCTTTTCCCTTGCAAGTTTTACTATTGTGATCAACTTATTTGCATAACTTACATTTATATGCATTAGTATTATTAGATTCCAAATTAATATGATTTTTCTTTGATTTAGGATGGCCTTTCAGTCTTCGTAAAATAGGATTTTGAACCTCTATAATATTATTATCCTAAATGTTGAGATTCCCTTCATTTTCACTGTTACTGTAAAGAATTCTCTGTTGTGACATTTTTTGCTGAACTGATTGAAAGAACTCAAAAACTTTATGATAAGTATCATCATTATCTTCCTCAATAACATCTATGATTACTTTCTTCCCTAAGCCAAACAATTCTCTGAATTTATGCTTTTTTGAAACAATTTTAGATATCTTACTATTATAATTACTTGTCCTAAACTCTCCGATTTGTTTGGCATTTGATTGTTGTAAAAACTGAGTCAATAGTGAATACTTTATTGATACTGATATATTTAAGGAAATAATAACAAATTCATTATTTGATATGTCAACTTCTTGCAATTGATCTTTATACCAATGCTGGTTGATTAATCTAATATAAAATCTTGCAACTAGTGTAAGGATCATTAATCAATAAAAGTGATAGCATAGATATCCATAAAATCTAAATATCATATACTGTATATACAAAGAAAGATACCATTCTTTAAAAAATATATAAAATGTGAAGTTATTTGATTTGCTAAATGCAAAATTTTCCAGACTTCAAAAACAGTTGAAGGATCTTCTAGAAAGGAACTTATATGTATTTATGAAAAGTCAAATAAATTGTCAATATATCTATCTGACTCGTCAAGTATCTAAATACATCTATTGACAAAATGACCCAACTATACAACCAAATTAGCATATAATATAATACTTACATTTTCTTTAGAATGCGCATTTTCGAATTCAATCTCTATAGCATGATAACAAAGGCTTAAATCCATTTATTTCTCCTGTTTTTTAATAACATTTGGCATCAAAAATTCGTTCAACTGTTTTACTACAAGTCCAAAAATGGATTTTGATATATTTTGGGTCTTATCTATAATACAGTTTGCTTTCAACTCACAAATTCAAAATAATCATTTTCTTTCTAATACTTTTTCTCTAATATGTTAAATAATTCACACAACAAAGGGTTTGAGTTTCCAAAAAGTTGTTTTAATATAGCATTTTTACCTTCATTACGAGAAGTTATTTGTCAGCAGTAAAGTATTTACTAGTAAATGTACGCACTTATGACTGAGGATTGCATCCTAAAACTTTCATTAAATAGTCTTTTGATTGTTGATAATTCTGTAACAAAGTGTTCCATCTTTATTGAATGAATTAACAAATATAACAATAGACAAAACTTTATAAGTACAATATAATAAATAATGAAAATACAATATATATTTTAATAATACATAAATTTTTAATAATGTATAATTTTAATAATGATAAAATCTTTCATTAAACTGTTTCTCTTTTAAACTTTTCTTACAGTGTAGAAATCTTTCATAAAATTATTAAAATCAGATCCCAACTTTCCTTTCAATTGTTTCAGTAGATTTTGGCTGATATGCCAAATACAATACATGTAGAAGGCATCAGAATATTATACTATAACTGCAACGTTAACTGCAGAATCACCATCAGTTACCAAAACTTTTGGTATTACACTAATTACTTCTTTCACACATTAGTAAACCCATTCATAGGAAAGCTGTGTCTCATCATCAAGAATTGCCTAAGCTACGATTCTTGTCTTTAAATTATTATCTGGGATAACAAAGATGAATAAAAGGCGGTTATAGCGATTAGTTTTATAAGTGTTATTATGCATGATAATATCATAATATCGTAATCACAGTATCTGTTATTCTGGACTCATCCAAAAAAAATGTGTTAATAAAGAAGTAACTAGATCAAACTTCATTGAGATTACCTATCATGAATCTTTGATTTTCTTATCATGAAGCCTCTTTAATAATAATCCTGTATCCTTTTCTCCTGGTGTTAATTCATGACAAAATTTATCAATGGCATTATAAAGATCCAGCCTGTATATTTTTGTCTTGAACTTTTTCCAAATAATTCGATATTGTACTGTTGCATTTACCTTAGCAACAACAGTTAAAAATCAAATTTCTTCAAGAATTTCTTCCAGCAATTTTCGTAATTCTGAAACAAATTTACTTGCTGATGAATAACACTCATAGCTAATATGATGATCATTAAATATTGTAACTTTTAAGCAGTCCTTTCCTTTCTTAAACCATATATTAACTTTCCATAGACATTCTACTCAGCAAAATGTTGAATTTGATTGTATTTTTTGTTTAGTAGTGGCTTTCCAGCATGATGACACAAATACATTCGCTTAATTACTTTATTTGTCATTTTATCCATTTTTTCTCCACCACCAATTCGGATTCTGTGACGTTTTACAGCAACATATTTTTTCATGAATTTTTCAACATAGTTCCAACTTTAAAAAACTTTGCCAACAAAAAAGTTGGTATCCTTTTGTATATCCACAATTTCATCAGATATATTACAAGATAAACAGTAGGTTCTATATATGTTATCCAATTTATAATATGATATTCTAACACTTAATTGCTTACCTATCTATATCAGAAAAATCTTTTGCACTATCATACTCTAATAATGCTTCAAATTCTTTGTTTTGAATATTTAATTCTTTCATATTATACAAACTATATAGGAAAAACAATAAGAAAAAAAACTTTGGGTAAAGTATTTATTTTTTTATGCACATTAAAAAAATAAAAACTAATGTCATTACTTTGGAAAGGTTTCGTTATTGTATAAATAGAACTAAATTAGTCAAATCTTAGGAAATCAAGATTTTAAATGCTTGAAAAACTTTTAATTTGATTTAATGTCAGGAAATGTGGGTCTTCCTTTAAAATTAACCTATTCCTTGAATTAAAATAAAAAGCCAAAGTCTAAAAAAAGTGGGCGTTAAACATTAATATTAAACAAATTCTTTGTATTACATGAATGTATATGTACATGAAAGC